GCAGGTAGGAGACGTCAGGGCAGGGCAGGGCAGGGCAGGGCAGGAGGAAGGGTTTGCTATGTGCCCTGATGTTTTCACGCTTCTCTTGTGGAAGGGGGCTGGAAGGGAGCCGGCCACCAGTACTCCTGTCCCCAGAGCTCACCTTGGGAACCCCTGCCGCGCCGTCCCAGCGGGTCCCTACCTGTGCTCAGAGCCAGAGACCTTCCTGCATGGTTTCTGCCTCTTTCTGCACGTTCGCTGCATGCTTTCATTCTGGTCGGGAATGTGGGGTCTTACAGGGAGGAAGGAGAGCCCGGTGTTTCTATAAATACATCCCTGAGCTCTTCTGCAGGTCCGGGCTCCAGAGCTGTGGGGCCAACAGCCTGGAGGGTGTCTGCCAGGGCAGTCCCACTGTCCCACTGCCAGGAAAGGAGGTCCGGTTGGTTCTCCAGCTACCTGAGGGTAGGTTCCATGTGGCCCCAGGACTGACCTCCCTCTCTGCAGCCCTGCCTGCCCTCCCTGCCTCCCTGCTGTGCCTTCTTCCTGGCAGCAGCAGGTCCCAGAGGCCGCAGGTCCCAGCAGCAGCTGGGGCTTTCCGGCCAGTGGAGGCTTCCAGAGGACAGCGGGCCTGGGGCTGGGTATGTCTGCGGGGACAGGCTGGGAGATTTGGGGAAGGGGCTTTCCTGCCAGCCTGGCAACCTTTTCTGGTCCCGTCTGCCCAGAGCAGGTGACGTGCTGCCCTACTGTGTGGCCTGCGTGAACTTTTCTGAGGAAACTCAGCTGTTTCTGGAGGCACTGAGGGAGGCAGGGGGACCCCAGGCTCTGCTGCCTGTCTCCTAGACCCGTGCACCTTGGCTCCCCCTAAAACGGCATTTTAGTCACGCCTTCCAACACGGGTCTCGTATGTACTTCAATTGTGACAACTGTCACCGTGGCTGCCTGTGCTGGAAACAGGACCTGGAACGCCAGGGACGCAGAGAGGGCACCGGGCTGCAGCCAGTCCCCACCCACTGCCCATTCATAAAAACAGCTCCTTGGCAAGTGGCCGCCGATGTCTGTGGCCCCGGGAGTGACTCGACTGGCGTGGGCTGATTACAGCAGTGTGAGGAAGAGGAGGGGGGTTGTGGGTGACTGTCATCGTGGGGGTGTGCCACGTGCACCCACAGATCCAAGCTGAGCATGCCGAGTGTCTTTTCGGGGCGAATGGGTCGTTCTCACTAGGGAAGCTCGTAGCTGCTGTGGTCAGACATGTTGACTCTTACTCTTGCTCAGGCCGTGGCTTCCTCTGGGAACCCACAGCAGGCTGAGGAGATAGACCTGCTTTCTGGCTCCAGCCCTGCCCCTGATGGGCTTAGACGTCTGGGAAGCAGACTGAGGAGATAGACCTGCCTTCTGGCTCCAGCCCTGCCCCTGATGGGCTTAGACGTCAGGGAAGCAGACGCTGGCTGACGCTGTCGCACCATGTGGCGGGCGGTGGCTGCTTTGCGCATTGTCAGTGTTCCCCAGGGTCCGAACAGCGCGTGGCACATAGCAGGTGCCAGTGAATGTCTGAGTGAAAACGTGCCCCTCTGGAGACCAGGGTTACCCTCATCCTACACCGCCCAGTTTAGGCAGAGCCAGGTGACGAAGTGCCGATCGCCACCAGAGCACCTCTGGTTTTCCCCGAACTTGGCCTGGAGGGAGCCCGACGGCGTCGAATCTCTCCCCGAGGTTTGCTGACCGTATCCGTCAGGGGAAGGCAGGGAAAAGAAGCACCCCAGTGGCCTACGAGGAAAGGCTTGAATGACGGGCGTGTCTTCAGACACGTGGGTAGGGGTAACGGGCCCACGAGGAATGGTGGGACCCTGGAGGTTGGCGACCACAGGGCACCTTTACACCCCATGTTTGGCCCGGCACGAGGCCATCGGGGGCCTTGTGGGTATGGTTGTCATGGCTGGGAGAAAGTGGAAGAGAATGCCCACCTGTCCACCTTTTGGCAGTGCCCCCCACTGGCCGAACCCAGCCTGAAAGCAGGGGAAGGGAGCCTCCAATGCTCCATGGGGTCCGGAGTAACGGGGAGGGCGGACATTGCCTCTCCAGGCCAGGGCATGTCTTGTTGCGTTGCCAGGTCCAGATCTCACGGTTGGGGATGTGGTCTTGACACCCATGGTAAAGCAGTGGGGCAGACCGGGGCCACTTGGAACAGCTCAATGGAGCGAAAAGCCCTCCTTCTCCCTGCACACCCGCCTGCCCCCTCGCTCAGTCTGCGGCTCCTTGACAGCACAGCTCAAAGATAAAACTTGGGCCTTGACGCACGAAGTGTTCGCAACCCTGGGGAGGGCTTGTGGGCAAGAGGGGCGCATGGTGGCAGAAAAGCCGGGCGCCATGTCACCATGAGGGCGTGCCGACGTGCACCTGCAGACTCAGGTGGGGAGCCTGCGTCTTCTGGGAGTGAGCGGCTCAGACGCTCCTACTCGAGAGGGGGTTGGAGCACTCATTCGGCCTCATGAAAATGAATCCTTTGGAAACTTGATGTGAAGCAGCCTATATTCAAAAGCTGTAGCTCTTCGCTCTTCTGAAGATAGTCATGAGTACACAGGAGGCAGAACGCCCTCCTGCCCAGCGCCCGTGTGAGCGCCTGTGTGCGGCTGTGACAGGCACGGGGTCAGGGACAGCCTGGGCACAGCTGTGTGCGGGGGACCGCGGTCGTGATCACAGTGCACCCCTGGAGCTGCATGGAGAAGGCGCCTGCTGCCATGGGCAGCGTGCCCTGGAGCTGAGCGGCCTCCTCAGGGAGAGCCGTGCCCAGCCCCCTCCATCCCAGACAAGGATGTGGGTGCGAGTAGGTTCTCTGGGCGGTGATCCCGCGGGGCAGCAGGGAGGTGAGACGGAGGGGAGGGGAGGCGGCAGAGGCGGGGCCTCTGCTGCGGGCAGCTGGGGTCCTGGGGAGACAGGGACTGGATTTACCCACCAAGTCCGGAAGGCTTTTCTGGAGAGGCCTCCGTGTGACAGTCTCGGGGCCTGTGCCAGGAGCTGGGAGAACACGGGCCGAGGGCGGGCAAGTGGTGGCCTCTGCTGGGGCACTGTAGGAGCCCGGCCCCACCCCTCCGGGCAGCCGCCGTGATGTGGATGCTGGACCAAGAGCCAGGGGACCTACTTAAATGATGGAGAGCTCTTTCACTGGACTTCATACGTATTATTTCTAATCTGCACAGCAATATCCCCAAGTAGCCACTAGCGCTCCCATTTACCAAAGAGAAAGCTGTGTCCAGAGAGGTGCCATCACTCACCAGGGGGCACACAGCAGCAGGCCGAATTCCCAATGAGTGCTCTGACCCAGAGGCACCGCAGAGGCAGAAGCTGGAGCAGAGCTCTGGCACCTCCTGTCTGGCTGCAAGTCTTGTGCCTCTCTTAGGGTTGTCACCTTGGGAATCACCTCTGTGCCTTGGTTCCTCGTCTATGAAATGGTCCGACAACGGATTTAACTACAGAGACATTGTAAGAATTAGCGGGCTAATCGTGAGCATAAAGTTCTTCCTTTTTAAAAAAAAGAATTATTTCATTTTATTTAGCATATTGTTGTTATTATTATTATTATTATTACTATTTATTTGACCAGAGAGAGAGAGAGGGAGAGTGAGAAAGCAAGCTGCCAGGACTGGGACTTGAACCATGGTCAGCCAGTGCCTCAACTGCCATGCCACCTGCTGGCCCCCATCAGTCCTCTCAGTAGTGCCGGCATTCAACCATGGCTCTGCAATTTTCTGTCCTTGTCTCTAGCAGCCCACGGTGTCTGTTCATGTGCCAGGAGGCCAGGAGTTCCCCTCTGATTCATTGCGTAGAAAGTAAAAAATCCCAGATCCGACCCAGGTGGCTTTTCACTGAAAATGCCCAGTGAGCTCAGCAGAAGAGGTGCCT